CCTTCCTTTTTTGGATAAATAATTAACTTATTTTTTTGTTCTGTTTCATTCTCATTCTCTTAATGGTTAGCTTTTAGTCTCCTGCATTTCCCTGTAATTGACATGAAGCCTGAACTTCACAAGTTCCATATGAGAGGAAAGTGCTGGAAAACTTACAACAGATTTGTGCTAGTACTGAATATTTCTCTTTTTAAAAATAGATAGTAAGAAGGAAGTAAATCATATTTCCTTTGAGCAGAGAGACAATCCTAATGCTTGGGTTAAGTGTATTTTCTATCTGTATAAGTGGAAAGTAAATAAAGGCCTAAAAAGTGAATATTGTGATGCAGATTGAATTGGTTACTAAAGTGGGAGTGCTGCTACAGCTGAAGGAGGTGTGGTAGAAGTTGCATTTCAGTTCTTCATCCTACGTCTTTTTTGGAAGGCAAAATGGGTTCTCGCTTGTTTCGAAGGGCTGTAGTTAATTTTTATTACTGGTTCTGAAACAATTTGTATTTTGTTTTTTCTAGGTGGAATTTTAGTATTGGATGAATTGAGTTGAATATAATTTTGCATAGCAAATCAACAGCAGCAAGTGTTTTTTATATGTACAGCATTAGCACTGCAGTGTCCACTGTCACTGATCGTGGGGAACATAACACAAGTAACTACTAATTACTCTGCTTACAGCCCTTACGTTTTCAAAACACTTCACAAAGTACTTCATCACAGTGTCTCTTCTCCATCTCTTTCTATTGATATGGAAGTAATGGCACAAATCTTCTGTTCTTAAGTGCAAAGCTAGAGCCAAAACATGGATATCATGGATCCTCTGTTTGGAAAGGAGATGACTTACATGGCTGAGATTCCAGTGTGAGACAAGGGGTGCTGACAGTAGACCAGGTCTTGCAGAAAACAAGGAGATAAGAAAAAGATCTGTGTAAATGTGCCCGGTATCTAGTGAGTAGGTCTAATGACACGTTACACATGGCAGTTTACTTCTGGCACTGTTTCATGGGCAGACTTACGAAGCATTCTCATTGCATATAAAATGTGGGTCCTGCTTTCCTCTAGGACTGAGGCTGCTCTGTTTTTCTGTTCAGTCTGAGGTGCAGTTCCACTCTGCAAAGATTGCATAGGAGGAGAGGAAGGGGGAGTGGTTGTATTTTAATGGCTTTTGACATTCAAGTTTGCTCCATCAGCAAATACAGAGTTATTTCTTCTGGCTTTCAGTGCTTTGAGCTTGCCCTTTGGTTTGGAGGAGACTCACTACAGACTTTCCTGTTTTTATGCATCAGCCATTACTGGCAATGAGAGTAAACCTGCCAACCTGTTAAATACTTCTCAACAACTGTATGCGGGTATCAGCGGTAGAATCTTTATTTAGTGTCATTCATTTAAGTTTATGGGAAATTAGGCATTTTCTGCCAGGTTTGACCAAGTACTGCAGATTTAAGTGTTGCACACAAGTTCTCTCTGTAATAAAGTAGAGTTTAAAAAATGTACTGTTTGTCTACCCTGGTCATGTAACAGGTTTCTTAGCCTCTGCATACCCTCAGGGGAAGGTTTCTGTTGAATAGAGTACTAGTAGATGGAACTGTGTCTGAGCAAATCAGGCAATGGTAGAATTTTGTGGGATATTACTTAGTCTTGCCCGCTCCCTGACTGCCACACAGATCGCAGAATCATAGAATCACAGAATGGTTTGGGTTGGAAAGGACCTTACGATCATCCAGTGCCAACCCCCTGCCATGGGCAGGGACACCTCACACTTGACCATATCACCTAAGGCTCTGTCCAACCTGGCCAGGGATGGGGCAGCCACAGCTTCTCTGGGCACCCTGTGCCACCACCTCAGCACCCTCACAGGGAAGAGCTTCTGCCTTAGATCTAACTTGAACTTCCCCTGTTTCAGTTTGAACCCATCACCCCTTGTGCTATTGCTACAGTCACTGATAAAGGACAAGGAGTAGTGGGTTTAAAAGGTATTCCTTATGGTGGTTCTTTAGAGCAGAGCATCTGAGGCTGCCTCTTTGGGACCTGCAGTGCAGTTTCTGGCTCTGTGAACTGAGGCTCCTACTTACTTTGGGCAGAAGGAGCTCTGGATGTCTCTTAATCTGTCTCTCAAAGGTTGTAGGAGTGGCAGAGCTAAGAGGGTGGGACACACATCAAGAAGAGTAAATTGAGTTCAGGCTTTTATGCATGACATCATGCTGCCATCTGTATGATAAAGGTATAAAAATAATCTACACTGATAAGAGCATGAAAATGGACAGTAATCTAAAAGTACAGTTCTATTTTGGAAAGTGGCAATCTAAAAATGTCAATTTTGAATCCAGCAGATCTATTCTTGTATTAAAATATTACTTGCTAAATTTAGTGTCAGAGTACTGGTTTAAAGTATTGGAGAATGATCAGATTTTTCTCTACTGTATCAGCTTTGAACAGTCTATTAAGTTTCCATTGTTTATACCCATTTGAAATTCTGTCACTTAGTCATTTTGGAGACTTACATGAATAATTATTTCCCTGGGCCTGTTCTTCCTCTTGATATTGATCCATTTAGAACAGACAAATCCTTTCCTCTGAGTAAATCAAATAGAAAATACTGTTAATGGTGAAAAAAAAAAGGTTTGTTTGTTTTCTTTACAAAGCTGCTTCTGAACTTTTAGCCTCTTTATTGACAATGCATCAGGTGAAATATTGTGTCTAATCTGCATCTTAAATGCATCCTTTCAACACAACCAAATCAAGTTTGTATTTTCTGTAAATAAGCAAGTTCTTTTTGTACAAAAGCCCTACTTCTCTCTACCCCTGGCCAGAATTTGTAGACTCACGTTCTCCCAAATGATGCAGTTTTATTACATTTTAAATGTTTTTACAAAATTTCTTGGGTTTTGGAATTTCACAAGTGAAATGAGGAGAAGCAGCAAAGCAGTTTGCCTGAAATGTTTGAAATCTGATTCAAATGATCTCTTTTGCAGTCCCATTTTTCATACCCAAATTCTTCTGTGATTCCCCCCCCCCCCCCCCCCCAGTTATTTCTAATTCTTTTTTTTTCAATTAAGAATTAAACAAATTCCAACCTTTTAAGTCCTTTGTGAATCTTCCAGCTTCGAGACTAAAGCCAAAAGCAGACCTTTGCTGGAGACCTCTCAAAATATAGAACATGATTGTTCTGCTGTTAACATTTGCAAAGAGGAAGGCGAGAAATGAGCATTGGTCCTGAGGAAACGGGTCAGAGGCTGTGTTGTAATGTCAGAATGTGGATTTTTAGAGTCCAGAGACCATCCATCTTGTCACTTATGGACTTTCATATCCAGTTCTAAAATACGGTTATCATGTTACAGTTTGTTGTGTTTTCCTCTTTGCTTTTCCTCTCCATACTGAGTTGAGCATTCAGAAGTACCTGCTTTCCCTCCTCTGGAAATGAAGGCCTTTGCCTTCTGCGTCATATTCTCTGCCTTGGCATCAAGGCTTTGCTCCACTGCTCGCAAAACAGACCTGGCTGTGGAATGAATGGGAAAGGGAAATTAAATTGGTCCTTTGTGAAGGAAATTTTGCATCAGTGACTTGAAATGTTTTGTCTAGACAAGCATTGGAAAAACAGATCACTTGGTCTCTTCCAGATCTCCCCAAATCTATGATTTAAAGCAAGGCTGCTCTTTTTGTTCTTCCTTTTTTATTCTCCTCCCCCTGGCTGTGTTAGATCCTGTCCAAATACTTAATATGAATTGATAGTGTGTTCCCAGGTAACAAATTACATCTGTCTCCGAAAATGAGCCAATGTAATCATGACAAATTCATGAAATAAAGGGGAAATACATTGCTGCAGTCCTGGGGAACATGAGTCAATATGCTTTATGTAATTATTTAATAAAACATCTCTTCTAGTGCATTGAACCAGCCTAAGATACTGAATCAGTCATATTTAGGAATAAATAAACTTCCAGTAAAAGCTGGTGACCAGAAGTATGCAATTATGTGTTTTCAGAGATACTCATTAAACCAGTCTGCTTAAGTTTCAATCAGACTTCTATATATGAAACAGTCTTGATAAGAGGGAGTAGGGAAAAGAAAGAATTTTTATGAAAGGCTATTCAGATCTTCTCATGCCCTAAATGGCTTTGAATTTTTTGGTTTAATTTATTATGCATGGAATTGCAAATCTGTCTAAAAGTTCATAATCCCAAATCCTGCATGCTGGTTTAATTCTGCTTTCTGGGAGCCATGGTAGTACCAGCATAGAAATACTACATTGATACCAAAGCTGTCGTAAGAAGAATATGATGTGGGGATTAGGCAGTGAAATATTTGAACTTAGTTAAGCTTTGTGTAGTCCATGTGAGAAATGTCAGAAGACTGATTATCAGCGCGTGAATTCTTACATATGAAAATAAAGTCCTAGGCAATGTCCTATTACACTGAAAAATCACAAGTTACCAGGCACTTCCAGTGGGTTTTGGGCTTCTTGATTTATCTTCCTGGTATGTCTGAGCTAAATACTCAAACTGATTTACATCTGAGACATGAGAGGATGTGTGTTGCCCAGGATCATAAGTAACTAGTCTGTGACTCCAGATGCTGGAGTGAATTCAGTAAGTGTCTGGTTATGTTCCTCTCAGCATTAGATTTGCATGGTTTAATGATCAGTGACTTCCACATTTATTTTTCAGTCAGCCTAAAATAGCATCAGGATCCTCAGGGATGGTCTACTTGCACAACTGGATGTGCAATAAACAGCCTGTCATTTGAAGGCTTTACAAATGTCTTTGTAGGCCTATTCAAATAATCTGAAAGTGGAGTTGAGAGAACAACCCACAAAATGTTAGTGGATGAGAACAAGAGTGCGTATATCCCTCCCTGAGAAGGGCCACTAACCTTTTCATGTGTCAGTCTCTCAGGTGTTATCTGATGACCATCTATTTGTTATAGATCCCCTCGTGTCACTGGAAATTGCAGTTATGGGTGCTATTGCTTTAATATTAGATTCTAATGGTCACTGTGCTTTGTCCTTCTAGGGCATCAGTAGCCTCTTCAGTTCACTTAAAGTGGTCAGGCTGCTTCGGCTGGGTCGCGTGGCTCGGAAGTTGGACCACTACATTGAATACGGAGCAGCAGTCCTGGTCCTGCTGGTGTGCGTGTTTGGTCTCGCAGCGCACTGGTTGGCCTGCATTTGGTACAGCATAGGAGACTATGAAGTTATCGATGAGGATACAAACACGATCCGAACTGAGAGCTGGCTCTATCAGCTGGGGATGTCAATAGGAACACCTTACCGCTTTAACACATCAGGCTTTGGGAAATGGGAAGGTGGGCCAAGCAAGGATTCAGTCTACATCTCCTCGTTGTACTTTACAATGACCAGCCTCACCAGTGTTGGATTTGGGAACATCGCTCCGACAACAGATGGGGAGAAGATCTTTGCTGTTGCCATGATGATGATTGGCTGTAAGTATTTGAGGTTCTGTCCCTCACACACAGTGTCAACTTGCTGTGTGTCTTGAATACTGATATCATAAGAACATCTGGAATCATGTCAAACATTATGCAGCTTAAAGTGTTTTTGGTGGCAGTATAGGTATTTCTTACTGGTTAATTTTAAGATTACAGGTTGGAGGATTGCTGTGACTAGCAAAAATTCAGTCAGTTTTTGGGCAATATTCTGTCAATATCCTTTCAATATTCTCTTGTAAGTAAACTGTAAAATGTGTAAAGCCTGAAGTGTTAAAAATTAATGGACCATGGTGGGCACAGACAACCTTTGTGCCTCCATTTGTTATGTGGCAAAATCTTTATATGTCTGAGAGCTGTACATGTTGGACAAGTGAGTTGGCGAGTGAGAAAAGGTCCAGGAGCACACTGTAAGGGAGAGAGAACAGTAGCACTCCAGAGGCCGGAAACTCCACTTTGGGCTGAGCGTGCAGTCAGATGCTAAAGCAACTGGGATGATACTGGCCTTGGGCACCTCTGGCTTGCATTCCCTTGTCACGAAGGATTCATATTGCCAAGCTGTCCAGCTTTTGGCCATGTTGTCACTTCAGCAGATGATCTGCACTCAAAGTGCCTCGAGAGCTACTTGGAATTAAGAACCATATGGTGGCCAACGTTCGTATTTTTCTAGGTAAGGGTGGAATTTGAACCAAAATGAGGGAAAAAAAAGAAATCTACTTTCTTTGTGGAAGAGCATATAATCCTATGGAGAAAGAGGGAAGCTTCTGTAGGGTAATATTACATCCAGAGGAGAAAAAAATCAGTCCTTGCAAAGCAGAAAATTAAAACCAAATATATAATGAAAGTCAATTAGCAGCACAGTGCCTGTTATGATAGAAATGTGAAGCACTGATTCTAATGTGTCATTTTATAGCAACACTGAAATTGCATACTGAGAGTACGTGTGCAGTGTTAAGCAGGCTGAAGGTTAGTGAGAAGTATAAAGAAGCATTCTTGATGGCTCAGGGATTGGGGTATTTCAGCTATAAAGGTTGTTAATTTTGTTGTTCTAGCAATTTTGTTGTTCTAGCTTTTTCCACTGCTGGGAGTCCCATCATCCTGATAAAACACCATGTAGCAGAAGGGAAATTCATATAAAACTTGGAGCAAATGTCGTGGTTTTCTTGGGAGAAGGTACATTAGACAGTGGGGCACAAAACAGGCTTCCAAATATATTTCCTGGTGAAGGTGCCTTTTTAATAGGAAATATCCTGACCTTTGGCTTATTGATCATTGGGTTATGGTTATGATAGTAGCTAGACAAGCACAGCTGGTATTATTCAGTATTATGTATACTAAACGAGCATAACCTTCATAAAATCAAGAATGTACATAGGGATATTTTGGAGTTGTACCTGCTTCAAAGTCTTCATCATAGGAAAATGTCGTGAAAAGGAACCGATGTAAGATGAATGTTGATGATACCTGCTCTGCATTCTGAAATGGACTTTAATTTCAGCAAACTGTGAAAAAACAGTATTCTGGCAATTTTAAATCTCATGAATGCAGTCACATTTGAGGGAAACAGTTCTGTTTGTGTTTGGTCTTCTGAAGCCTTACATTTCTAACCCTATAGCTGTCCGTATCTGAGCACCTTTATCCTATGAGCAGCTACTTGGGAACCATTAGGACTCTTCACAATATGTATTTGCTGGAATGGCAACTAAGTAATCCACTATTAGAGTTTATTTCTCTGGATTTTGTAGAGTCTTGGTTGCTTTTAACATGCTGAAGTTTTGAGCTGTGGTCATTCCTCAGCATGGGAGGAACAAAACTGATCTGTTTCATTTGCAGCTATTTAGAGCTTAATTATTGATAGACATTCTTCCACCATAAAAGTTTGTGTTAAAACAACGCTCTTTTGCCTGTAGAATAAGCTCTCAAACATCGATCTGAGCTTGAGCTAGAGCTGTCTTAGAAGAATTTTGTCTGATCTGTTGGGAACCTGGAAGGTCCATAGCAAGTTTGTCAGGGTAGATGTGGGGGAGTGGAAGGAGGTTTTCTGGGTAAAGCTTTTTGTTCTGAGTGTCAGAAAAATCCGTATTAGTCCCTGGCCAAGTAACACGTTTGTCACGAGCTGAGGTACTTGCTTATAACACGGTTGATGGCTACATTTTCCTGTTCTGGTCCTCATCTTGCAGATGTCAGATCACATAGATTTGTGCATGGGATTGACAGGGGCCGTGAATTGCCAAAGCATCAGAAATAAGTAATTACAACTCAATTCTGCTAATGTGTTACTGCCCACTAACAAGTGAAAGGGTATATCATTTCTAGTTTATCCTTTGCCATTAACACTGCATTTATTTTAGCACCTTCCTAGTGACGCATTCTCAAAAGCTACTGCTATTTTTCAGTAGCACAGGGAATGCCTTTTTCTTTCCATGAAGGATGTAGAAAGTGTCTAATTGTTTGACTGTCTAAAAACTCCAGTTGAAGATAGGCAGGATTTGCCAAGTCCAACCTCAAACACATCAGTCCATTAACTTCTTCCCTGGTGGAGGAGAAGTCTTTAAGAACTGTGTGAATTTATCTTGTTTTTGAAGTGCTGAGTGTAGGCTGGCCAAATATAGACTGTATAATTAAATATACAGTCATGTGTGGATATTTAAATAGTCCAGTGAAATTAGTGAAGTAATCCATACATTTTCTGTATGGAATGGAAACAGCACTGTCTCTTTTTCCTAGAGGATGTCACTGGTTATGTTTACTTGAGTAAGGCAGTATGTTAACAAGATTGGTTTTGAGATGCCAATACTGCCATGATGGGGAGAGTGTGTAACAGGTGAATTAATATTTCAAAGTGATTTCAGCAAAATTATACTTTAAATAGGCTGGAAATTTTTAATAGGAGGGTAATTTTTTTCCCCTTGGCCTAATTTACCTCCTGTGAATAAATAGTAAAACTTCCATTAGCTTGATGGGGACAGATTTAGATGAGCAGAAAGAAAAATGTAACATTTCCTTCCCTTCGTGTGTTCTGGCCTCTGCTCATTTTGAATAGCAGTAAGTGCTGTGTCAAAAAACGGGTGGCTTGTTAAACAACACTGTGGCCAGTGAAGCTTACAGTCACAACTTGGTGAGCAAAGTCACCTTTGAAATGTTGATCTTCTCTTTATTTGCAAAAGAAACTGGGTTATCTTGAAATGGAGGTGGACAACATGTGTGGAAATGTCTGAGACCCACATGGGCTTATATGGGCTGGATATGCAGCTACCCCACAGCAATTGGGGTGCAGGTACCACCACTCCAGCTCACAGTAAGCACTTGCCTCCCACTGGTGTCTAACCAACGAATCCAACAGTGTGGTGCTTGCTCACTGCTGGATCCAGTTTGGAGTCATAGCACTGCCTCTGCACCCTCCCCCTGATTTTTGGTGTTTTGGCTTCAGACTGTTCCATGAGCTATGCCAGCAGGCTTTGGTAGGAGCTTGCAAAAAGTGCTGCCCTGGAGCACAGATGTTGGCGTCAAGTGGAGGGAAAGGAAGAATTTACTTTTAGACATGTGAACTCTTCCTATTCAGTGAGCTTAAGAATGAATAAATTACATATATACGTGCATACATACATATGTACGTAGCATATGTGTATACATACACGGAGAGCACAGATGTATTATCACAGAATCCCAGACTGGTTTGGCTGGCAAGGACCTTAAAGCTCATCCAGTTCCAACCCCTGCTACGAGCAGAGACACCTTCCATTAGAGCAGGTTGTTCCAAGCCCCCGTGTCCAACTTGGCCTTGAACACTGCCAGGGATGGGGCAGCCACAGCTTCTCTGGGCACCCTGTGCCAGCGCCTCAGCACCCTCACAGGGAAGAACTTCCTAATGTCTAACCTAAATCTGTCGGGTATCATAATCATACATCATTACCATAAATAACAACAGATAACTTCTTGAAATACATACTTTTAGATGTGAACTATGTTGTCTGGAAAACGCAGAATTCATTCTTGAAAGAAGAAAAAGGGAGCATATGGGTTTTTTTCCCCCATGTTTGATATTTTAGAATTACTTTTCATAGAATGGATTTGATTGTGAGAAGTTGTATCTCTGGGGAAGGCTGGACATGGTGTGTGGCGCTCCCCAGAGGAGTGCTGCCAGGTGGTGCAGTTTTGCAGGGCTTTCTGGTCCTTGTTTCTAGCAAACTTACTTTTTAGTTTTGTCTTGGTTTACTGGCTGAGTATCTTGAATAGTTTCTCAGGAGGAAAGTCGTGAGTAGCACCAATGTTTCTTTTCGTTGACCTTGGAGTGTTGTCTGTGGATCCTCTCTGTTTCAGGAGAGGAGTTATTGTGTGAACAAATGATTTTTAAGACATGTATTGCTGTCTTCTCCACTGGCAAACTAAAAGACTTGTGTTAAAGTCAGCACAGGACCATGGTGACATCCAAATGGGATGCCTGTGTCAGAAGGCTCAGAATATTGCATGTATTTGAAAGCATAAGCAGTTCCTAACTGGTGTCCTTCCATGTGTGTTTAATGTGCTTATGCCCACAGAGATGGCATTCATGCTCTGTAATTATGTTCCATCTTCTCTAAGACAAGATTTGGCTTTCTTTGCTTCTCAGCCACTGATATATCCCCTTCTGCTCCTTGCTTACTTCCTCTGTAAAACCCATCATGTAGCAGAAATACATTCATGTTACATTACCTCTTTGTAGAGCCATTGACCACTAGTAATTGTACTTTGCCATAATGCCAGAGAGCTGTTTAAAAGAAGTAGGTAAGATTACTTCCTTTTTCAGTATATAAAGTAATAAATCTGGGTAGCTAAATTAAAATGGCCTACTATGAAGTGTAAAGTATGTAAGCTTGTAGAAGTGAGGCTGAGTATGTCTTGTTAACACTGTGTAGACACTGGGAAGGCGTGATGGAGGTGGATATTGGGTGTTCAGCCTGTGGTTGGTTGGTTTTCACTTGGGGCAAAGCTCCAGAAGGCATGGCTTGGCCTCAGTG